AAGCAGTAAACCTTTTCAAAAAATGTCAAAAGATTTGTAAGGCAAGATTTTCCCTTAGTGAAACCATGTTGGCTATCAAAAATTTTTATTCTTTGTTAAATGACTTTGCAAAGTATCTTTAATCAAACTTTCAAAGACTTTTCCCACCACTGATATAAGATTAATAGGCCTATAATTACTATGACAGTTTTTTTTTCACCTCCCTTGAATAAAAAAGTAACATTAGCCAACTTCTAATCTTCTGGCACCTGACCACTATTCAGTGATTTAGGAAAAATAGTAGTAACTGGCTCACATATCTATTCCTTTATCTCTTTCAAAACCCTGGGGTAAATATTATCTTCTTGAGGAACTTTATCATTCTTAAAACTTCCCATTTTTTTTAACAAGCTCAGAATAAATGTGATCAGTTGTTCAGCTTTGTTTACATCTGGCAACTGTTCAGGATGAGGAATGTTTTGTAAATCTTCATTAGTAAAATTTAATAACGTAGCCATCCCATAATCATAAGATATTAGCCTTACTGTATCATCCTTCAATGGCCCTACTCTGTACTATCAATTTTTATATTTTCAGCCAACCTTTTTTCATAAATTCTTTGATTTCCCATTTGACCAACTCTCTTGACCTTCTATAATCGTTCAAATCTCTAATCATTGCAGTCAACTTAAACTTCTTATATTTATAATACTTTAATTTTATCCCTACTATCCTTTGTGAGATAGCCTAAATTTTTACTTGTATCCATCCTTTTGTTTTTCTGATAAGAGACATGCTTATCTTGAATATATAAGAACTTATTTTTATAATTTTTCCACATTTGATTTGTATCTCCAACTAATTCAGTTGCCCAATTCACTGCAAATAATTCTTGTTTCATCTCTTTAAACTTTGTGTTTTTATTTAGATTTGGAACAAAAATCTCATTATTCTTTATCTCTGTATGCAGCAAAACATCTAATTGAGCAACAATCACTTACACCCATATGTTCTCCAGTCAAACATTTCTTTATTAAGAGTTAACAATAGCAGTGTTCCATGTAGGTTCCGTAACCAATTGTTGAAGAAAACCATCCTGAGCAGTTTCTAAAAACGTGTCTCCTTCACATCAATATACCTAAAATGAAAATCTCCCATAACTATAACTTCATTCTGAATTCTTTATTTTATTATAGTGTTTCTCATTAGCTTCATCTGGTGCTCTGTAACAAATTTTGGATAAAAGCCTTCTACCCTTATAATCACTAACAGAAACCTAATAAGTTTCAACCTCATTGCTGATAGCTTGGATATTCTCACCTTGAACAACAGGTAACACATAATTAACATATATAAAGCCATGCCCCCCCACTTTTTAGTACTCTATCTTTATTAAACAACTTATAAACCTGTATTTCAAAGAAATTTGTGTCATTGAAAATGTCTATGTTTAACCACGTTTCAGTTATTCCCATTACATCAAACCCTCTTTGCTCTAAAGTCATCCATTTTATTTCTTATACTTCTAGTATTACAGTAATAACGGACTAGCCTACCCATTGAGTTAATAGTTCTTGCAAACGAGCCAATCCCTACCCTATTTAGGTGTAAACCACCCATTCCAAAAAGCTCCTTTTTCTCACTGAACTGATTCCACAAATCCAATCATGTAACCTGTTCATCCTTACATGTTAACCTAAGCCTATAATTCAGCCCTAGTTATAATTTTATCCCCATAATTAAGCCTTATCTGTTATAGAATTAAATTATTATGGCCCTTTCTTTGAATGTCTTTATTAAGGCTTTATACTTAACAATTTCCATATCTGACCTGCTCTTTCCTACATCATTAGTCATATGTGCACTACAAAGACTGCGTCACTGCTTTCACCCTTTACTATATCACTTGCTTTGTCAGTTATACCTCTCCTTAGATAGTATAATCTTTCCTCCCTATCTACCCCACAGACTATCCTGTCCTCATGTTGTACTAAAGAATCTCCTTTAACAATAACCTCCTTATGTTTATCATTCCCACCTCTATCTATCCCTTTTGTTGTTTTTTCCTCCCCTAGTTCTTCATCTACAAAAGCTGAAGGCTGAATCTGTTACTTAATAGAACCTGCTCACTATAATTAATTCCACTTCTGCTAGCACTATTAGTACCATTTCTAACTTCCTGAAAGCCTTTATTAGCCACCCTATCTCTTGCATGCTAAAGCTTAAGTTCCACAAGGTTCTAGTGAGTTAAGTAGCTTAAGTTTCTATTTATTGTAATGAAAGTGCTATATTATACATTAAATATTATATTGGGCAATGTAAAATTTTTGAAAATTTCTTGTTCATGGGCCACCCCAGTGCATCAGTGGTAAGTTTTCAAGCTTAAAACACTAAAGAGCAGATTTTAACACAAGTGGTGGGTAGAGCACTAATAGTTCATTGTGTTGCTTTGTATCAACAATCAAATGAAATTGTCCTGGTGATAGAATGCTAGATAAATGTATTTCTCCTTAAAAACCTACTTGCCCCCTCACTGTCCCATAAGACACACAGAAATGTAGAATATAACTTTTAGAATTTTACTTTATTTTTAACAATGAATACAATCAATACAACGCCATTGGCAGCTCAGTTTTTGGGAACAGTGTGCATCATGTTTTGCATCTAAGATCTTTATGAGTATATCTGTTCATGTATTTTATGAATTTTAATATTTAATCATTAGGGTTTTACAGAGTAATAGTAGTATGTTTTTTTTACTATTCTATATATATTCTTCTTACACCTGACAGTCAAACTTTACTGGGATTCTACTGAGAACAAAATTAATGTAAAAATATCATTGTGTTAATTCAAATACATTTGTTACTGTGTGCATGAATTAAAGGGATATATATTTATATAGTGTGGCTATGTGTACATAAAAGACTTGTACATTTCAGGAAATTGGGTGGCTCCTTAGAAATCTACTTAAAGCATTATCCTATCAATAGAATGAATTATATGAAAAACTGCTTGTTCAGTGGGCAAACGGCCAGGTGGTTAGGGTGCTCGACTTGCAATCTGCAGGTTCGAATCCCCGTCACACAAAACATGCTCGCTCTTTCAGCCGTAGGGTCGTTATAATGTGATGGTCAATCACACTGTTTGTTAGTAAAAGAGTTGGCGGTGGGTGGTGATGACAAGCTGCCTTCCCTCTAGTCTTTCACTGCTAAATTAGGGACGGTTAGTGCAGATAGCTCTCGTGTAGCTTTGCGCGAAATTCATAAACAAACAATCAGTTTTGAAAAGTATAACAGTAAAACTTGTTGAAGGCATCAGGCAATATGAATTTGACACTCCTGTTATTATATGTTAAATATCATATAAAATATGTTTTATGTTACACTTTAAATGTTATAATGATATTATTTTAAGATTTATTTGAAACATTTTAGTTTAAAACGTTGCTAGAGGGCACATGACATGATGATCTAGAAAGTTTAATATGATGTAATAATCAAGAAGTTACTGTTACGACATCGGAAGTCACGTGATGCTTCTGGCACGTTTGGTGCTGGTAGCGTGTATGAAATTTCTCTATTCATCATGAATGATCGAGGAGGCCTAA